TGATACCCAGGAGCTCTGCCGCACTCAGGCACCCCCGGTCTTTCTGTGACCCCGAGGGTCCTGAGACCACACTGTCCCGCGAGTGTTCCACCCCCCGCTTAGCCACTGGAGCAATGTCCCTCAGCGGAGCCGACTTCTAAAAATTCCGATTTTGTGCTCTGCGGCTCTATCACTTGCCAGAAGTGGCTGACGGAGGCCCCCTCCCCCGCCGTCTATCCTCCTGAATATCGCCTCGGACTCACTTCTCCACACGTCCTACCTTCCAGAAAGTGGTCGCTTTTCTGTTCAGAGAATTGCTGCTATTCATTTCTTCGATCTCCTGTTGAGTTCGTAGGTGTTCAGAATGGTTTGATCCCTATCTAGCTGAATTCCTGGGACCAGGTGAAATCCAGTCTCCTACTCCTCTGCCATCTTGCTCCTCCTCCCCTAAGCCTAAAATCTTTAAAAATGTGTGTGTATTCTACAGCTGTATTGTACAGCTGTACTATACTTTATTTGACCATTTCTCTATGGGTAATCATTTGGGTTGTTTCTAATTTGTTGATGTAATAAATTTAAAAACTGTAAATTGCCTTATGAATATTAGTAGTTACTGTTCTAGTAGCAGATCATTTATGATAATCTGGAGCTAATAGGCAATTTTGTAAATTATTCTTTATATGTTTTTACTCACATAGCATAGTGCTTTTCAGAATGTGACCTAATCTATCCAGAAATATGATTGCAGCTGGATGGGACTGTACATTAGTGACTGTCTTGAGTAATGGTTTCCAGAGGCCATTAAGCTAGCATATTGCATTTTAATTGTGACTTTCTAGATATTGGGGGGACACTCAGGTCCTTTTTCTATTTCTAGGATATATGTTTTAACTAACACCATATCCTTTTTTTTTTTTAAAGTTTGTTTATTTAAGTAATCTCTACACCCAACGTGGGGCTCAAACTCACGACCTTGAGGTCAAGAGCCGCATGCTCTTCCAACTGAGGCAGCCAGGCGCCCCAACTAATACCATTCCTAATCAGTTTTATAGAAGAGTAATTTCTTGAATACCTAGTTGTTTGGTTGGTTTGTGATTTTTCTTTTTTTAGGTGAGTGCCTGGGTGGTGCTTTATACTGGAAGAACCTTGCCATCCTTGCCCAAAAAATTGGTTTCTGCACTCCACGTTTGGTCACTGCCAATCTCATTACAGTTCAAAACAAGGAATTAGAAAGAGTGATCGGTAAGAAAGAGCAGTGGGGAATGTTAAAACTGCTCCTTGAGTGGTTCAAATGTGGTGTTTAGCAAGAGTGTACTAAGTGGGTCTCATTGAAGGAGACTTTGGGTCATCTGGAAACCTCCATCTTGTCTTCTGTTTAATAGCAACCTCCCAAAGTTTGGTATTTAATAAAGCACTTCAAAGTTATTCGGTAAATAGAGTGAACTGCCCAGAAAGATAACTGGTGGCATGCAAAGAAGAAAATCACCATTATAATCTGTATGCTCTTCATCTACTAAGCAAACCAATAGCCATTTGGGAGCTGGAGCTGAACCATGGGTAAATTCTGTTTTAGGTGACTGTCGTTTTGTTTCTGCAACATTTCGCCTCTTCAAACTCCCTAAGACAGGACCAGCCAAAAGATGCCAAGTGATTTACAATGGAGGAATCACGGGACACGAAAAAGAACTGATATTTGATGCAAATTTCACATTTAAGGTAAATAAAAATTTCCATGATTTTGGACATTCTTTCTACTCTTACATTTGCTCCAGGTACCTTTTCTTAACCTTGCATTGCTTCTCCCTTTCCTGGTGTTGGGACATGTGCATGTATGTATTTATGCTTTTGCTGAACCATTAAAAGTAAGTTGCAGACATCGTGACATGTTATCCTTAATATTTCAGCATGCATCTCCTAAGAATAAAATATTCTCGTACATAACCACAATATCACTGTCATACCTAAGAAAATCTTTTATGGGAAGTATCCATCAGACATCAGATTAATGGAATTACAGAGAAGCAGTATGGAAAAGAATAGAAGTATTGTGCAACAGTATTTCAGTGGTTCACTTGTATCATAGAATTAAGGAACTCTTGTTGTTTAATGACAACATATTGATATTTCTACTACTCTTTGCAGGGCATTCTTTATTTCCTCAAAATGGAAAAGTGTAGGCTTTGGCATCAGATTCTGGGTTCAAATTCTGGGTTCAAATTCTGGTTCTATTATTTATTCTGGTTCTATTCTGGTTCAAATTCTGGTTCTATTATTTATTACTTGGGTAAACTTGAATAAGTCCTTCTTTGAGATATAGTTTGCTCCACTGCAAGAGTGTAGGGGTAATAATACCTACTGTGTAGAATTTCTATAAGAAAAAAAAAAAAAAAAGATTAGCAGTAATATAGGGGCCCCTGGCTGGTTGAGTCTGTAGAGCCTGCAACTCTTCGTCTCCAGGTTGCAAGTTCGAGCCCCATGTTGGGTGTAGAGATTACTTAAAAAATAAAATTTTAATAAATATTAGCAATAATATAGCAGAACCTTGGTACATACTGGGAACTCAGTAAATAGAAGATATAATCATGATTTGTTCCAAAGGTAGCTGTTTCCCACCTCTGATTTTTTTGGTCCAAATAGCATCTTCGAAGTTCTTAACTACTCCCTGGTGCTATTGATGCTTTTTCACTGATCCACTGCCCCTTGATGTACTGCCTACTTCTGTAGGGTCACAGAATCAAAGTGGGAAGGGCCTTTGAACCCGTCGCTCTGATATAGTGGCTTTCAAAAAACCCCCATCTTTAATAGCAGAATTCCTTTTTAAAGGGAGATCTTATTTAAAAAAAACAATACTTGGGGCATCTGGGTGGCTCAGTCGGTTAAGCGTCTGCCTTTGGCTCAGGTCATGATCTCGGCGTCCTGGGATCGAGCCCCACATTGGGCTCCCTTCTAATCGGGGAGCCTGCTTCTCCCTCTCCCTCTGCCTGCCGCTTCCCCTGCTTGTGCTCTCTTGTTCGTGCGCTCTCTCAAAATGAATAAATAGAATCTTAAAAAAAAAATTTAAAAAACCACAAAAAACCAATACTTACTATGTGTCAGACATTGCTTTACGTAACCCCAGTATATGAAGGGGTGAATGCAGAGCTTATCTGAAGGGAGCAGGGGTTAGATAACCCAGAATCTCCTGTGCTCACTCCTGGTTCCCATGGCATGAGCCTTTTATATAGCCCCCCAGGCACCCTGGGACTCACAAAAATACACATTAACACTATTATTTTAATTTAAACCCTCATTTTAATGATGAATAAGGTGAAACTCAGATAACAGTGGTTTTCTACATCTGTCTCTGAGGAGAGATGGGATACTGGAGCAATGAGTGTCCTTTTTTTTTTTTTTTTTTTTGCTTTTCCACCAAAGAAAAACTGATTATGACACTGGTCAATTACATTTTGAAATGAGCATGAAACTAGTGGCAGGGTCTGAACAGAAATATCGTTTTTGAAGATATAGTCTTTTTATCCTGAAATGTCACTCCTTAGTAAATCCTTTGTATGTTTTTCTTTTATTAAGATTAAAGTGGCATATCTTGGGGCACCTGGGTGGCTCAGTCATTAGGCGTCTACCTTCGGCTCGGGTCATGATCCCAGGGTCCTGGGATCGAGCCGTGCGTTGGGCTCCCTGCTCCGCAGGAAGCCTGCTTCTCCCTCTCCCACTCGCCCTGCTTGTGTTCCCTCTCTGTCAAATAAATTTAAAAAAAAAGATTAAAGTGGCATTTCTTAATATGTGTTTTTTTTCTGCTACCCTTCAGGAAGGTGAAATTGTTGAAGTGGATGAAGAAATGGCAGCTATCTTGAAGAATTCCCGATTCACCCAGAATTTTCTGATCAGACCAATTGGAGAGAAGCTGCCAGCATGTAGTGGCTGTTCTGCTTTAGGATCAAAGGTTTGTTTGGCTTTCAGTCCCTGCCTTGCCACTGACTGCTAAAACAAGAAACAAATCATTATTCTTTTAGTTGGCCACTATAAATAATTTCTAGCCATATTTGTATCTACAAAATGATTTGAATTAATTTCATAACTTTATTTTTCCAATCTGGATAGTAAGTCAGAGACTCTTAACTTGGTGCACCCATGAATGGACTTCAGGGCATCCATGAATCCCTTAAAATTATATACGTGTATGTGTATTTTCTCAAGAAAGTATCTATTACTTTCATCAGATTCTTAAAGGAGTCCAGATACAAAAAAGGTTAAGAGTTACCTTGGAAAAAATTACTCAAATATTCAAATAATTATTTGAATAATATTATTTTTTTTAAAAGATTTTATTTATTTGTGAGAGAGAGTGAGCAAGAGAGAGACACAAGCTGGGGGGTGGGGGGGAGGGGCAGAGGGAGAAGCAGAGTCTCTGCTGAGCAGGGAGCCCGATGCGGGGCTCGATCCCAGGACCCTGGGATCATGACCTGAGCCGAAGGCAGATGCTTAACGACTGAGCCACCCAGGCGCCCCTCAAACATTTGTAAGTCTTAATTGAGATAGTCAAATTGCCCTACAAAAAGATTGTAGAAGTCTACATGCCTACCTGCAATGTATACCTTTTCCCTGCCGTCTTACTAATATTGGGTATTATTTTTAAAATTCTTTGCTTGTCTGATGGGCAGAAAATAATTTGTTGTTTTATTATGCATATATTGAACCATTTGCATATTTAGTGGCCGGTTATATTTCATCCAATGTGAACTTCCTGTATAATTCCTTTAACCATCTGCCATTAGAGTGGGATTTGCCTTTTTTTTATTGCTCTATAAACGATTATCTGTTATATGTTGTGAATATTTTTTCTCAGCATGTCATCCATCTTTTTATTTGCTTATTTTTCCTGAGTAGACATTTTCAGTTTTTATGTAGTCAATTCCTTTATGGTTTCTGCCTCTTATGTTATGATTAGAAAGACCTTCTCCATGTGAACGTTATGAATTTACCTATATTTTCTTTAAAAATTTTTTAAGATTTTATTTTTAAGTAATCTCTACACCCAAGGTGGGGCTTGAACTCACAACCCCAAGACCAGGAGTTGCATCCTGCACTGACTGAGCCAGCCAGGGGCCCCACCTATATTTTCTTTTTTAGTACTTTAGGCATTCTGGGATAAAGTTCATATAACATAAAATTCACTATTTTAACCATTTTAATGTGTACAATTTAGTGACTTTGAGTATGTTTACAAGGTTGTGCAGTCATCACTAGTATCTAGTTTCAGAAAACTTCCATTACCCCCAAAAGAAATCCCATACTTATTAAGCAGTCATTCTGCTATCTCCCCTCCCCCTGGCCTCTGGAAATAAACTAATCTGCTTTCTGTCTCTGGATTTGCCTATGGTGGACATTATTATATAAGTGGAATCATATACTATAAGGCCTTTTGTGTCTGGATTCTTTTACTTAATATAATGTTTTCAAGGTTTGTCCATATGTCAGTACTTCATTCCTTTTTATGTCTGAATAATATTCCATTGCATGGATATACCACATTTTGTTTATCCACTCATCAGTTGATAGATGATTAGGTTCTTTCTATTCCTGGCTGTTCGAGTAGTATTGCTGTGAACATGCATGTACGTGTATTTCGTGTCCTTATTTGAGTACTGGTTTTCAATTCTTTTGGGTCTATACCTAGTCATGGGGTTGTTGAGTCATATAGTAATTCTACATCCAACTTTTTGAAGACCCACCAAACTGTTTTCCACAGTGGCTGCACCATTTTAAATTCCTACCAGCAATGTATAGGTTTCCAATTTCTCTACATCTTTGCCAACACTGTGTTATTTTCTGTTTAGTTTTTATTGTAGTCATCCTAGTCAGTGTGAAGTACCTCACTGTGGTTTGGATTTGCATTTCCCTAATGACTAGTGATGCTAACCATCTTCTCACATGTTTGTTGATCATCTATATGTTTTCTTTGGGGAAATGTCGTTTCAGATCCTTTGCCCATTTTTTTTTTTTAAGAGAGGGAGAGAGAGGGAGGAGGGGCAGGGCGAGAGGGAAAGAGAGAACTTAAGCAGGCTCCATGCCCAGGACAGAGTCCGACATGGGACTCAATTTTACTACCCAACGCGGGGCTCGATCCCAAGATCCTGGAATCATGACGTGAGCCAAAGGCAGATGCTTAACCAACTGAGCCACCCAGGTGCCCCTAAACCTTGTTTTTAAACAGAATTCAATTTAAAGGTGCCTGGGTGGCTCAGTCGGTTAAGCATCTGCCTTCGGCTCAGGTCGTGATCCCAGGGTCCTAAGATGGAGCCCCACATTGGGCTCAATTTTACAACCCTGAGATCATGACCTGAGATGAAATCAAGAGTCGGACACTTAACTCACTGAGCCATCTAGGATCCTTTGCCCATTTTTAAATTGGGTTGTCTTTTTATTGTTGAGTTGTAAGAGCTCTTTATATATTCTGGATACTACTAGACCCTTATCAGATACATGATTTGCAAAACTTTCTCACATTCCGTGTGTTGTCTTTTCACTCTGGATAGTGTCCTTTGATGCACAAAAGTTAATTTTGGTGAAGTTGAATTTTTCTTTTTTCTTTTTTGGTTGCTTGTGCTTTGGGTGTCATAGCTAAAAATCCATTGCTTAATCCAGGGTCATGCAGATTCTTCCAGTGCTTTCATGGTTTTGCTTTTCACATTAAAATTTTTAAACCATCTGGAATTTATTTTAGCATAAATGTTGAGGTACAGTGTGACTATTTCTCCAAATATTAACTAGTTCAAATTTTCCTGTTCATTTATTATATCAATTCCCCACTGTTTTGAAAAGCTAATTTTCATCATATCTTAATTTCTTGAAAGTATACCAGAGCCAGGATACCATTATATTCTAAAGTAATCGTTTTCTAAAATATTTTAGATTCATTTTTGGAATTATTCTAGTATCTGAAATATTCGTATAGCATTTTCTAAAGCATTTTATCACAGTTTATCTCATGCCATCTCCGCAGCTACCCTATGAAGAAGGCAGATGGGTAGTTATAATAGAGATTAGCATCCCTCTTTGTCTTTCTCTCTTAGATATATATATATATATTTTAAAGATTTTATTTATTTATTTGACAGAGAGAGACACAGCGAGAGAAGGAACACAAGCAGGGGGAGTGGGAGAGGGAGAAGCAGGCTTCCCACTGAGCAGGGAGCCCGATGCAGGGCTCGATCCCAGGATCCTGGGATCATGACCTGAGCTGAAGGCAGACAGTTAACGACTGAGCTACCCAGGCGCCCCTCTTTCTTATATATTTAATCCTTTCTCCCATTCATGGTGTCAAGTATTTTATTGATCCATTCATTAATTTATAATATTGTATTTAGAACAGGCTGAGTGATGGATTTCAAGTCTCTTTGGGCTGACAGAACTTACAACATTCACCGAAGTCATACCAATGACGTGCCTCGAGGCACTGAATGGTGGAAGCCCCGGGAAATAAGATACTGATATTGCTGCGCCAGGATAGCGGCAGAGCGTGGGGTTTATGTATACAGGCCTTGCAGTCAGATAGGCTAGGTTCAGATCTTGGCTCTACCAGGCATGTGTGATCTCAGGTACATTACCTAACCTCCCTACACCCTCTGTCTCTCCATGTGTAACAGGAAGGTAATAATCACTTTTTCTCCTCGGGGTGTGAGGATCAATGGGGATGATCTATGGAGAATGTTAGCCTGATGCCTGGCACATAATACACACTCAAGAAATAGAAGTAGTTACAGTTATGGATTTGTACTAATTAAGATTCTTGGTCACTTGGAACCGTGTTCTAGGATTTCTCATTCTTCCTGACGTACCCTTTCTCCTGGGCCCAGAGATTCTCTAATCTTTTGCCATGAATTTTTGCTTTCTTTTGCTTGTATTTTGTAATAACTTTGGATACATCAAGCATACATTGAGACGCAAGTAACTCATATGTCTTTTTCTCCTCCTTCTGTTGCATTTTAAGCAGTCTTTAAGTGTAAAGCTTGTTTAGAGATCACTCTCCAAAATGGTAAATTTGTAGTTGGGAAAGTTTAATTGAACACAAGAGGCAGGAATTCTGGAGCCAAAAAACCGAATGTGTTCTTGTTTGGCCACTCTTACCAGCATGAATCAAGTGCAAGCTAAATGTAGGAGCCACCTCTAGAGCTGAAGAGTGATTTAGGTTTTGCTTTATTAAATTCTTGAGCCCTCTGCTATTTGTTACTCTTCTGTTTTTCTAAGCAGATGCCTTTTTGGAAAGTAGAGAAATGTGACTTTGGACCTTTCAGTCCTTGAAACCCTTCACAAATGTGTTATTGGTATTTTGAAACTCTTGGGAGTTCACTGATAACCAAACCTTGCTGGTGAGAATCAATGTGTATTTTGAAATGTTCTCATCATTCTAATTCTCCTGGAACCTGGTTTCCTGAATCCTAGTTAGAAAAGCTGTCAGCAGGTTACGGTTATAAGTAAAGGGAGTGTTTCCTCCAACCACAACACTTCCAGTGTACTCTGGCTGTAAAAAAAAAAAAAAAAAAAAAAAGTCATTAAGCGGGCTGGCTTCCGCAGAGACCCCTTTCTTCCAGGCTGGCTCTCCTTGACCTCCCTCTTAGTGTGCACGCGGGGCGTGCAGGAGGGCTCTTGACCTCACATACCAATCATAACTTGCCACGTACTTGGACTGGTTTATCCCCCCTGCCTCCTCTCTCATCTGCCTTGGTTCTTTCAGCATGCTGTTGGGCCAGTGTCTTTAGATCAGTTCCAAGGTTTTGAAATGGCAATCACTGACAGTGAAGGGAGATTTAAGGAATGAAACAGCTGCGTGTCCTAGAAATATAACCTTGTGTGCTTGGAGGGGGATGCTCCTGTCCGATAAAGGCCGAGAGCACAGTGCAGGCAGGTGGCACGTGGGGGTCGCTGGTGCTCGCGTCTTCCCGACACCTGCCACCGGTGAGGACTGCTGCTTCTTCCTGAGCATTGACTCAGTGAGGACTGTTTCCAAGAGCCCTTCTTTTCTTCCTTTTGTCCTCTTCTCTTTCCTCCTGCCCTTCCTGCTCCTCCCCCCTCCCCCTTTCCTCTTCTCTTCCTTCTTCTCTTTTAACCCTGACAAAGAAAGGGTATCTTGCTATTTTTTTTTTAAAGATTGTATTTATTTATTTGAGAGAGAGAGAGCACGAGAGGGAAGAGGGTCAGACGGAGAAGCAGACTCCCCGCCGAGCAGGGAGCCCGACGTGGGACTCAATCCCGGGACTCCAGGATCATGACCTGAGCCGAAGGCAGTCGCTTAACCGACTGAGCCACCCAGGCGCCCGGGTATCTTTCTATTAAAGGAATTACATTAGGGGCACCTGGGTGGCTCAGTTGGTTGGAGTGTCCGACTCTTGATCTTGGCTCAAGGATTGATCTCAGGATCGTGAGTTCAGGCCCCACATTGGGCTCCACACTGGGCATGCAGCCTCCAGAAAAAAAAAGAGAATTACATTAGTAAAACACTGCAGGATCTGAAATGATGCGCGTAGAATTGTGGTACGCAGCGTCTTGCCACAGTTAATAGCAGTGGTAGTAACAACATCAGCAACACTAGGAATAGTGTTAGAGGACCTAGGCTTTACTGAACAGGTCAGATGTTCAAGGTACTGTGTCACTTTGTCCTCACAATAACCCTTATTATTCTCATTTTACAGATGAAGAACCTAAGACTCAGAGTAGATTAATGTACTAATCCAAGGTCACAGAGCTAGAAGGGGTGAATTTGAACCCATGTTGGATTCTAGAGCTGACATTCTTACCCAATTTGCTGTACTACCTCTCTGTATCTAGACTTTTTGTAGAATCACAGGATGTTGGTGCTGGAAAGGACTGTTTCTCAACTTGTCTCACCTTTTATTTCCTTTAAGTCTTGGGATCTTTTAGGGGTGGGAGCATGGATTAGGAAGTGATATTGATATCACTATCTCCTATTAGTAGAGAGGACATGGGATGGGAAGAAAAAGAGTGGAAAATCATTTTCCTGGGTGAAAAGGAGGAGAGGCTAACTCTTATGACCAGGAATTCCAGTGTAGCAAGAGCAGGAAATAAACAGTGGACAGGAGGGCCTGGCAGCAGCGACTAGCATAGCTAGCCCTCTTCCAGGCTTGGAGATCCTCCCTGCTGGATGCTAGCTTACCTGTTAGGGAGCCAGATCCAGGCAGGCGTCTTCATTCTAGAAAGGTGGAAACTGCGGGTCAGGGAGGCCCAGGCCCCCAATGGGTATTTCAGTAAAGGAAGTGGTCTGTAAGACTGTCCTTCATGAACTGCAGGTCAGGGAGGCCCAGGCCCCCAGTGGGTATTTCAGTAAGGGGAGTGGTCTGTAACACGTCCTTCATGAACTGCGGGTCAGGGAGGCCCAGGCCCCAGTGGGTATTGCAGTAAGGGGAGTGGTCCGTAAGACTGTCCTTCATGAACGTAGGGTCAGGGAGGCCCAGGCCCCCAGTGGGTATTGCAGTAAGGGGAGTGGTCCGTAAGACTGTCCTTCATGAACGTAGGGTCAGGGAGGCCCAGGCCCCCAGTGGGTATTGCAGTAAGGGGAGTGGTCCGTAAGACTGTCCTTCATGAACGTAGGGTCAGGGAGGCCCAGGCCCCCAGTGGGTATTGCAGTAAGGGGAGTGGTCCGTAAGACTGTCCTTCATGAACGTAGGGTCCGCGCCTGTCTTGTCCTGCCTTCTATTTGCAGTGACCAATGATCAATAGTAAGAGTGTACATTTATGTTCAATGAATTCATTATCATTATTTGAGGTGGATTGTTCATGCTCTTGATTTCCTGCCTTTGTGCCTCGTTTTTCTCTGGCCTCACTGGTGCTGCTGTTGGAGGTATCTCATTTGGAAGTGAAAGGAAGAAAAATAAAGACTGCCATCTTGTCTTCTGAAAATTCCACTCACTCTGCCCTGAAATCTTGCTGGCTGTTGTTGGCAATCTCAGTATATGAACATCAGCAGTTGCTAACGACGGCCCTGGTGTGTAGGACTTGCCTTCTTGTCTTGCACACGTTTCTAGAGATGAGAGTAAGGGAAGGAAAGAAGTGTCAGCATTTTGGTATTCAGTTCCAGAAGGGTAAAAGGCACGTACAAATGGGACTCCCATAAAACAAAATGAAACAAAATCAACTTTCCAACTTTTCCCTAGGGACCACCTCTACGAACCTTTACGTGAAGTTTACCTTGAAAGTGGTAAAAACTTGGGACACCTGGGCGGCTCAGTCGGTTAAGCGTCTGTCTTCGGCTCAGGTCACGATCCCGGGATCCTGGGATTGAGTCCCACATCGGGCTCCCTGCTCAGCGGGGAGTCTGCTTCTCCCTCTGCCTGCCACTCCCCCTGCTTGTGCTCTCTTTCTCTCCGGCAAATAAATAAATAAATAAAATATTTTTTGAAAAGGGAAAGAAAGTAGTAAACATTTGATTAGAAGCTTCTGGATGAGACAGCCACCTTTATAGATGAATCCCAAGGATCCTGTGGAATTATAAAATTTTATCTACCTCCTAGGTAAGCCAACCTCAGTCAAACTGAAATATGAGTATTGGGGTACATCAAAACACCTTTAACTTGTCCTTTCGTTTTGGTTTGCCTTTTGACAGGGTGTAATCACAGATCCTTTCAAGCTTGCAGGAGAGTCCAACAATGCAAAGCCCGGATGTTCTTCTGATGTTGCGGGAGGCTGCTGTCTGTAATTTACAGCTGACCAGAAGAAAGGGGCAGACGGTGAAGGACTTACATGTCCTTTAATCTCCTCTTCCCCATAGCACAGACCATAAGAAAGAATAAATGGTGAAAAGCCACTATGTTCTAGATCATTGCTAAAAATAATGAATTATTTTTTGGAGGATATTAATTGAAGGTTCGTAGCAAATGACGTAAAGGCCGGTTAAGCAGGTTTTCCTCTCTTTGCTAATTCAAAGTTCTGGTGCCACCTAGTGGTCAGATGTGGAACTGAGACGCAGTCTTCGGGCTTGGCCAATGAGCAAGAAGGGCTTCAGGAGTCTCAGAAAAACATCTTCCTTCTGACCTGCATAGCACCTTTTGGACTTTCACCGTGTTTGCTCATAAAACAAAGCTCCAACTGAAATCATGCTAATCATGCCAAAAAAATTTGCAAAATCAAATTTGGTAGGAGTGCTCTTAAGATATCTTCTAAATCAAACACTTTTTTTTTTTGTAATTGAATGAAGAAAACAATTGAATAATGAATCTCTTTGACCTCATTAGAGCCTAAAGAATGACAACATTGTGACTATCTGTAGTAAATCTTAACCAGATCAGGAAAAGAGTGATAATTTTTAAAAAGAGAGGTAGGAGATATAAAAACAGTGGGTTTTCTTTTCCTTTATAATGTGTCCCGGTTAAACTTTTAGGAAACTATTAGATTTAGTTCTAGCTTCCATAGTTAAAGAATGAGGTTGAGGACTATTTCAGGATGATGTCATCATTAGAAACGAGGACGTTATTTAATTGAAGTCCAGTTGCACTTGAAGACTTTGTCAGGGGACACAGAAAGGTATAAGTCATATATAAGCCATGGTCCTTGTCATCAGGAGCTGATCATTCTTTAATAACAGCCTTTAAGCATGAAGAGTTTTAATGAGAAAAAGCTCAGCCACTTGCTCTGACTTCAGTGCAAAATAACAAGGGGGGAGTGGCATGACCCAAGAGATTTTTTATTAGGGTTATGAGAATATTTGTAAAACATTGGAATGGATTCTGTATTCCAGACCCCTCTTTTAATAAAGCTGTTAAAAATGGAGAAATTCTCAGATTTCTGAGTGGGTTCAGCCATAGGAACTAACTTACTACCACAGAATAAGAGGACTGGGTCATATCTTTTAAGATCTATTCATCTGTGTGACCTTGATTCTAAACAGTGTTTTCATGGTTCTAGAGTTCAGTATCTACTCAGCCGTAACCTACTTCAGTGACAGCATTAGTTAGACCAGTGCAGGTGGGATTAAGCATATTTCACCATCCATGAGCCCAAGGTGGTCCTACTATAGGGAGAAAGGATGAAAAGAGAGGACATTCTGGTTATTTGGTTTATTAGGCTTTTCTAAATTTAGAGAGAGGAGGTTTTAGGCAGTTACTTGTCATTCTGAATTCTCAGTTCCCCCAAAAGATGATGAGGGATGAGTGTGAACTGGAATGTGGAAACTCGTGTTGGGCTTTTCCTAAGAATAACCTACTTTATACATTATCTTCCAACAAAATACACATCGTAAGAACTGTATGTGATCTAGAATCTAGACAAAATATTAACTACATAATATAAAATAAAGTAGACATGTTCTGTTCAGAAAAAATGCCATACGTGGTTATTTAAATATTCCAAATAGGTGAGAGACAACTAGGAGCAGACGTCCCTTCTCACAGAGGATACCTCTCCTTTAAGCGTGGGAAGCAGTGTGGAATGAGGAGGAGGAGGAGGAGCACAAGTCTGATGGCAAACTTGATGGTTCTTTTCCCACTTGGCATTTTGGCCTTGAGAAAATTATTTAACATCTCTGTGCCTTTGTTCCCTCGTCTGCATGAAGTTCTTTGAAAGGGTGGGTGGCATATGGTTTAACTTGTTACTAGTTTGGATCTATATGGTTGCCACCAGCATGTGATGGCAGGACCAGCTGAAGACCAACTTGCTGCCAGAGCATGGTTTAAGAAGCTGCCTGTAGCTCTTTGGACAGCAGACAACTTTCCCCCCAACATTGTATTACCACCTTTTCAAATATGCAGAAAAGTTTGAAACATTGGAGTGACTGCCTGTTTACCTACCACCTAGGTTACCTGTTAACTTTCATTTCATACATGTTATACTTAAAAACAGCAGAGGGGCGCCTGGGTGGCTCAGTTGGTTGAGCAACTGCCTTCGGCTCAGGTCATGATCCTGGAGTCCCGGGATCGAGTCCCGCATCGGGCTCCCTGCTCAGCGGGGAGTCTGCTTCTCCCTCTGACCTTCTTCCCTCTCGTGCTCTCTATCTCTCATTCTGTCTCTCTCAAATAAATAAATAAAATCTTTAAAAAAAAAAAAACAAACAGCAGAGCCAGAGAAACAAGTGCCTAATTCTTCTGTAGTTACAAACACTTTTCAGAAGATACTGGACTTATGGGGTGCCTGGCTGGCTCAGTGGGTAGAACGTGCAGCTCTTAGGCTTGGGGTTGTGAGTTGGAGCCCCACATTGGGTGTAGAACTTACATTAAAAAAAAAAAAAGGTAGTGGCCTTAAAGCATTTGAGGAGCAGATTTTCTCTTAATTGATTATTGTACCAAATATAGTATTTTCAGTCCTTCATTATCATAGGGAGAGAATTTATTTAAAAATCAGCTAAGGGGCGCCTGGGGGCCCTGAGCTGGGCTCCGGGCTCAGCCGGGGAGTCTGCTTTTGGATTCTCTCTCTCCCTCTGCCCCTCCCCTTGCTCACTCTCTCTTTATCTCTCTTAAATAAATAAATAGATAAATAAACAAACAAATCTTTATTTAAAAAAAAAATCAGGTAAGCCTGCAGAGGTTTTTCTGCTTACCTACTGGAGGGAGCACAGCAGTAGCTTAAACAGGATCCCACCCCCACCCCCACCTCCAGCCACACATGGCTGAAAAGGGCATGGCTCTGTGCCAAGACAGCAGCAGAGCCTGCTTCTCTTATTGATTCTTGGCCTTGCCTTGGATGGCTCCTAAGAAGCAGCAAAAAGATGACTAATTCTGCCTTATTAGATTGGGAGGTCTCCTAAGTGAGCCTGGCAAGGAATGTGAAGCTATCCATCCAATCTTTCATTTATTCACTAACAACTACCTACTCTGTACCAGGCACTGTCCTAGGCCCAGATCACTAATAATCAAAGATGATGAACCCCGTGGGCCAGCAGGACCAAAACAGCTAAGCCTGTTTTCTGAATGTTGGCACCTGTCCTAACTTCTGCGATTCGCCAAGTTTCTTCAACCACACAGACAGCACAGATGAGGTCTTAACAAGGGTTCTTTCGAAGACTCTGCCGGGAGAGTCAGTAGAGGGAGATCTCACTAGATGATAAAAATGAACTCTTTTGCAAATATGGGGCTGGAATTATACAATCCTAATAGTAACCTATGACTTGAGCTTTACTGCCTCATTCCTGTTTCTATTCAGCTGCTGACCCTGCAATTTCTGCAAGCACAGCTCCCACTGAGGTTAATGGGAGTGTTCTGTGAATGTAAGTTTTGTACTTAATCTTCTCCTGCTGCGTGAGCCTTGCTTGTCTTGGACTGATGACCGTACCAATCCCCTTCCCCAATGGGAACATGCTAGCCCCTCCTTTCATGGAGCAGAGCCATGTAGTGGTATGCTCCAGGTGAGGGGAAAATCAATTTGGGACAAAAATGTTCTGCTCTAATGTTACTCCACTGCTTCATAGTAATAGCACCCTGCCTTCTATATGTTGTCTAGACGCCCGAGAGAGTAAAAGAGAACAGTATATCGATGCCGTTGCGGGGCGCTGTAAGCCAGACTTGGCTCTACTGACTTTTTAACTAGGCCTACAGCCATTAACTCTCTTCTCATTTGTGGAATGAGAATTGATGCAGGAGACCAGAAGCAGGTATTCGTTCTCGATCTGGCTCCACTGCCAAACTAGCTACTTGGCTGTAGGAAAATCGTGTGTCCGCTTTGCAGTTCACTTTCCCCGTCCGTGAAAGAAGGGAGTTGAATTTGGTATACTCTACATTCCCTGCCAGGCTGGGAAACAGATTTATGGATCTAGAATCTGGAGAGGTCACAGTGCTTTTGAAATTGTTTGAATTTGTTGCCCGCATTTATAAATCAGAAGTTTTACATAAAATATGAATTTCTACTTCTCTCAGAGAAGTAGAAATGTTGGGCCCACGAGCCCGGCAGTTCTGCCCAGTTGCCACGGCCAGAGTGTAAAGGCTTCCCCTCCAGCCAGAGTGTGCCCCTTCTGTCTGCCGCCATCCCCATCCCTTCTGCTTTACTGACCCCTGTAGGCTTTTGAGTTTGTGGCCTGTTTTAGGACTAGGATGCGCACATTTTCAACAAAGTTACCAGTGAGGGCTTTATCCCCATGATCGTTCAAACGATGGCAGGTCTATGGCCTCATCTAGGAATCTGACTTATATATTTAATTCATTACAAGCAGAAGCCAAGAAGGGCACTTGAAGCTTTGCAGGGATGCTCGCGGGAGGGAACCAGGGTGCCGGGGCTGCTTATGGAAATTTGACATATAACTCAGAGCCTAATTGTGTCAGGTGAGGTGATCTGGACCGTTTATTCTCCGTTCCCAGAGTTAACAAGCCTCCATCACATAACTTTCTTTGTGAATGTTAAATGAACATCCCTTGGAAAGCTAAAACCTCAAAATGTCAAGTTGCTAGGGAGGAAAGGTTTGCACAGCAAGCACAGAAGGATTTGTGCAGCTTCTAGGCTTAGTAGTTAATCTTTTATTAACTGTCCTTATTTTCTTTTTCTTATTAACCTTCTTATTTCTTTCATTTGGATCTAACTAGGGAAATGTTGTGAGGGAGGTATTTTTCTTTTTGCTTCTAAATAATGGAAGAGAAGCCCATAAAGCTGATGCAGCCCTTTAAAAATGGTGGTTTCTTGAGATAATGAGGAAGAGTCACTGTGGCTATAAACCATGCCAAATGCCCCAAGTTGTGTCTTTACTGAAAATAATTCCCTTTTACCTCTTTTACAATGCTGATTTTTCTAATTTTACACAAGAGAAAACCGAGGCTGAGGATATTTAAATGACTTGCATGATGG